AATTCAACTAAGGAATTTTCCCACATAAACCTCATGAAAGGACCATTATAGTCCATTACAAATGGGCTCACCATAGATAACCAATGAACTCCCAAAACCACATCAGTACCAGATAATTGCAATGGATATAAATCAACAGGGAATTGATGCTGGGCCAAGGAAAGAGATACCTGAGGACAAAAAGTGGAGCATGGCAAAAAATCACCATTGCCAACCATGACCTTAAGTGGGCTTGCAGTCGGTTCCATTGCCAGTTGAAGAAAATGAGCCACTCTGGTCTGGATAAAGTTGTGGGTTGCTCCACTATCCACCAAGATCTGAACCTTATACCCCTTAATTGCCCCTGTAATCCGGAAGGTGCGAGGTGTCCACTGACCAAAAAAAGCGTGGAGACTAATGAGGCCAGCCTCGGGTTCCGAGGGTTCTACCGAATCATCAGCAAACAGTGGAGGTTCTGAAATTGGGTCATCAGTATCGAAGGTGGTAAGGTGCAAAAATTGAGGTTTGCAACGGTGACCTCGGGAGTACCTCTCGTCACAGTTGAAGCACAGATTCTTGTCCCTTCGAGCCTGCATTTCGGCCTCGGTAAGACGTTTGATTGGGAGTTTTTGTGTTGATAATCAAGTTGCAATTGAAATTTTTAATGAGTCATTTATTTTATGAGAAAAAAAACACTCCATAATCAAGTTATAACCTATGAGAAGAACAAAATTGTGACATAATTAAATTATATCATACATTTTATGACATAACTAAACACTTAAAAATCAAACTATATCAATGATGATTAAATTTTTGATTTGTTAACAAAGACTTTAATAAGACCAAGGTTTGAAATGCCAAGAGCCCAAGAAACAAAATGGGTTTATGCAACAAGCTAGTTTGAGTAGGAAATTTGTTGACCTTAGTTCTTCGAATAGAATCTTGTTGAATAATTGTTTTAAAGAGATATCATTGAATTTTTTTTTGTTAGGTTTTATGTTTTAGAGCAACAATTTTAATTAGTATTGTTTATATTTTAAAATTATATTTAAACTCTATAATGTGCAACCACTGGTAATTTATTGGCTAAAAACCTAATTTGGTCCCTTATAATCTTTTTTTGTTTCAATTTAGTCCCTCATTAATTTTTGGTCTCAATTTGGTCCCAAACTAATTAATTGGTTTCAATTTAGTCCCAAATTAATTAATTGGTTTCAATGTGGGACTTTCCGTCCAAATTGCTTTAACGGTGTTAACTTTTGGCCACGTGGACGCCACGTAGATGCATACGTGGATGCCACGTGGATGAGAATTTTTTTTAAAACACCTGGACCCAGAACGGCCCGTTCTGAAACCGAAACGGGCCGTTCTGGATGCACTTTTGGTGTGTTAATTTTGCATCCGGAACGGCCCATTCCAGGTGCAAAATTAACACAACGAAAATGCAACCAGAACGGCCCGTTCCAGTTTCAGAACGGGCCGTTCCGGTTTTATTTTATTTTTTTTATATATAAAATATTAATAATTTTATAAAATATATATTATTAATTATATTTTAATTATGTTATTATATGAGGTTTATGTGGGAAAATTCCTTAGTTGAATTGCAGGGAGACCAAGGCCCGGTTCCATCTCCTATTTCGGCCCAACAACTCCAGAAACTTCAAGATACACATAGGTTAGAGGCTTTATTCCAATTAACCCTCGAGCCTTCCCTTTCCCACACACCTACTACTGATCCTAACCACACTACTACTATCCCTTCTTCCACTGAGCAATCCCTACAAAACTTAATCTCTAAGTTTTCTTCCCTTTTTTCCACTCCCACCGCTCTTCCCCCTTCCAGACCCACAGATCATGCTATCAAACTCCACCCAAATTCTACCCCTGTCTCCATCAGACCATACCGATACCCCCACTATCAAAAACAAGAGATCGAGCTTCAAGTTCAAAAAATGCTTGAATCTGGATTCATTACCCCTAGCCAGAGCCCTTTTTCCTCCCCTGTTCTTCTCGTTAAAAAGAAAGATGGAACCTGGCGTTTCTGTGTTGACTATAGGGCTCTCAACTCCATTACCATCAAGGATAAGTTTCCAATCCCTACAGTTGATGAACTCCTTGATGAACTTGGTACTGCTACTTGGTTTTCCAAATTGGACCTTCTTTCAGGTTTTCATCAAATTTTGATGCTCCCTGCTGACTCCCACAAGACCGCGTTTCGCACACACAATGGTCATTTTGAATTCCGTGTAATGCCCTTTGGACTGTGCAACGCACCCTCCACATTTCAGGCAACGATGAATGAATTGTTCCGCCCATTCTTACGTAAATTCATCATCGTCTTCTTTGATGATATATTGGTGTACAGCCCCACATTGGATTCACATATCACGCACCTCACTACTGCGTTTGACTTACTGCTCTCAAACCATTTTAAATTGAAGGGCAGCAAGTGTCTCATTGGCAAGAACTCTATACAATACTTGGGCCATATTGTTTCCTATCAGAAAGTGCAACCTGACCCTGAGAAATTAGATGCGGTGGTGGGCGTATGAAGCGATTTGTGGAGGTGAAGGAGGAGCTGGTTTTGTTGTCCTGTAATTTGGCGAGAGCTATGGCTTGAGGTAAATCGGAAGGTTGGAGAGCCATCACCTCTCGGCGCAAATGTGGTTTAAGGCCAGAAATGAAGCAACTGAGGTAGAAGCTAGGAGGAAGATCAGGGATGCGGTTTGCAAGTGCTTCAAATTCGGAGAGGTAATCATGGAGGGTATAGGTCTGTGTAAGCTTGCAGAGAGAAGCTATGGGATCTTCAAATTTAGAAGGTGCATTCCTCGGTTTTTATTCTTTGCTCCTTCCATACAGCAACAACCTTCCCACTTTGATGGAATAAAATCAATTTATGGAGCTAGTTGTATGAGTTGGACTTCTTTTATTAATTGACTCCAATGTATGATGTCATATGTGCAGGTTTCAAGTGCTACGGCCACTTTTGCCATGGTTTTCTCCTCATCCATGTCTGTTGTAGAATATTACTTGCTAAAACGTTTTCCAGTTCCTTATGGTTGGTACTTTGAAACTTCAACATACAACATTCATTTATGTGGCTCTGGGATAAAATAAATTAGATTATATTTTGGCCAAAGTGGTATGGTACAATTTGTTGCTCTAACCCATACATTAAATATATTTTTGCACAGCTCTATACTTTATTGTGGTGGCTGCCATTTCAGCTATTGTGGCACAACATATTGTGAGAAAGTTGATTGATCTACTTGGGAGAGCATCTCTTATCATCTTTGTTCTAGCCTTCACAATATTTGTTAGTGCCATCTCACTAGGTAAACCTTGTGATTCTCTCTTAATTAATTTGGTTTATTTATATATACATATTTGTGGTACATAATATTGTCATGTACTTCAATAATAAAATGTTTTTCATTTATTTGTTAGGTGGAGTTGGCATTGTAGAAATGGTAAAAAAGATTGAAAATCACGAGTATATGGGATTTGATGACCTATGCAAGTATAATTCATAGCCAATTTTATTATATTATTTTGTAATTCTTGTATTATCTCAAGCTCCCAATAAAAAAAGCCAATAGAACCTAGGTCACCAAAATTGACTTGTACTGTGTGCCAAGGCTTTTATCTTATTGATAAGACATGTAAAGATGATGTTGTTAGAGATTAAGAAAACCATATTACAATTTTTGTAATATTGTTTATGCTCTAGCTATTGTATCAATTATTATAATTTATTTTGTTTATGAAATTTTGTTTAAATCCTTTTATTATATGATCATTTTTAATGACACACTTGTTCAATTCCGATCATAATTAATGTGAATTGTTTTTATACTTTTTGTACATATTGATTCAAGTAACTCTCCAAGAGCATAACATAAAATTATATATGTTCTTTAATGTTATATGTCATTTACATGAAATTAATATCAATAAAATCATTATCATTGTGATATATAAAAGAAGGATCTTGCCAATAAAACTCTTCCAAGTAAAACTCCCTCATGCAATATTAATCTCTTATATATAATCTTTTAAACTAATTAAGTTATAAAATTTCTATATTATGTATTATTATCAATAAATAATTACATAAAAATTAAAAAATTAATTTTTATTATAATTTAATTACAAATAATTGACAAATTGTATAGTTTTTTTTTTAACATCGCATTTATGAAAATTATTTATAAATATCTTATTATATGATTCGAGTTTTTTGTTTTCATTATTTTTCATATATTTCATACAATACAAATATATTTTTTTATCAATAACTTTTAAATAAATATCATTTATTAATATTAGTACAAACACATGCACTAATTTAAATAACATAAAGATAAGCTACTTGTTATCATAAAAAGGGGAGAGATTGAAGACTAAATGAAGCATGTACTTTATGAAAGATAAAAGACAAGCGTTAAAGGAAAGTTGTGACATCTTTCTACCCAAAAATATTTTAATGTAATTATGATAATAAAATACAACAATTATGAGTAATAACTCAAACTCATGGACAAATGAATTCACATCCCCAGCCTTTTTTTTGGATAAAACTCAACTATATAAGAAATGAGAAAATTTTGTCTCTGAAAAAAATGATGTTTTAGGCATTAAAACAACCTTTACAATATTCTTGAAAACTAACACGAGTTCATAAAACACAAACACTAATAACAAATATCATTGTCTCGGTGTCATAACCTATTGAAGAAACTCAACAAACGCACAAAAGCCTAAGGTTCTACTCTCGTAACCTTAACATGATCAAGGTCATGCTCACCTAAAAGTTACATTCAACCTAAAAAGTAATATACAACAAGCAACAAAGGAGTAAGAATACGTCTCACACAATTGGCAAAAATAGAAGAAAGCCACGTGGTACCTAATAGCATATCACATGTCAAATCTCAAGCACGAACACGCTCACAACTCAATACACAGGACACATGGACTCTTATGCTCTTATATACCAATATCAAATTGCAGAATTCACGTATTTACGAGGAAATCTAGGAGTACATGGACAAAAATCATTACCACACAATGAGTAAACAAAAAAACAACACGATATCTACTCTTATTTGAACAAAAACCTTTCAAGAGTTAGTCGAGGTATTATAGCTATGCATGGTTGCCTTTCATCCCACTCATAAATGTGAGGTTTCCCACCATAGCACCTCTGAGGCCAAGGTAGAAGATCATTGATGATGAAACTAGCTTGGAAATGATGGAAGATTCTCTTCTCCATGCTTCAATGTGCTCCCAAACTTTTTCCATGGTCTTGTAAAGCTTCAAAAACTCAAACGTGGTGGAGGAGGTCGGAGTATGGTGCACACCATTTCTTAGAGAAGATAAGCAAGAGAAATGAAGAACTTTTCACAAGGAGGAATTCCTTGATAAAAGTTCATAAGAAGAAATTTCTCCAAGAGAGAGAACTAGACTTCTAGTTGGGAAAACTCAAGGTTTATTCTCACAAATGCTTATTCTCACAAATGCTTAAAAGTGGTTTGTCCAAGTCATGCTACAATTATATATATGATTTGATAGCTTGTGGTGCAAGTTAACCTAGGTTAAATGTAACCTAGATTAGGTTAACTTGAGTTCAAGACTACTACCCTAGTTCACTATTTCAAATTTGGTTAGTTTCCTCCTACATGTCACTTTCTTAGATCTAGAATGGCCAATAAGAGTTTGTCACATGGCAAGGTAAGGAAAGTGTGACTCATGTCACCATCTTAGATCTAGAAGAGCCAATGGAAGGTTGCTACTTGGCATGCTATGTAAAGTGTTATTACATAAGGCCATATGACATGCTGGCTTCTTGAATGGCCTAGGATACATCCTTGTCCCCTCCATATTGGATGTCTAACACATTTGCTTCATGCAAGTAGACATCCCACATGGACCAAGGAAGGATGCTCTTCTGCCTTTCAAGCCCACAAGTCCAACTAGTCTTTTCTAATTACACCCCTCCTAAAATACTATTTACACCCCTAAAATTAAAAATACATGAAAATAAATTCCTTCACTACTTGACCAAAAATACAAGGCTAAAAATAAGAAAAATATTTACAAGGAAAAACATACATAACGAAGAGAAAGTAAGCTATTAAAAGTAACCTAAAGCTCAATATAAGAGCTTGGGCCTTCTTTCTTTAAGTCTAGCCCACTCTTCTTGACACCTTTAGGACTTGGCCCCTTGACATGATGTCATCATCCCTTCCATCTTTAAGAGAATTTGTCTTCAAATCATAAGCCTTTTCTTCTTCTTTAACACTTGCAAAAGAAAATAAAGTGCAAGCATTAGAAGTGTTGTTTTCTTTATGATCATAGAGGCTTAACCTATTCATCCTCTCTAAGTATAGAATGGGCTTATCCTTAAGGATTTTTATTTTCTTAGGATCCTCTTGAACCCCTATAAGTCCTACAATACTATCTACACTCAAACTATATTTCTCTAATTTTTCTAAAGGAGGTTTATTACTAACTTCTAAAAGGATTTGCCTTAGGTGTCCTATGTAATCACCTAGGCTCCTAGAAATTAACTAAACTATCTACAACTAAAATTCCTTGCCTTCCTAAAGATTGAGGTGATTTAGAGCCACCATGACTAAGGGACTTCTTAGGAACAAAGTGTTGTCCCCAAGAGTGGAAGGCTCGAAAAAGAGCATTGAACTCTTGGTTAAATATGACGTAGTTGAGAGTGATACCAAAAGGAGTTATATTTAAAGAAGCAATAGGGTGCTCACCTTTTAATAAAGCAACTCCCACACATAATCCACATGCAAAATATTCTAGATCAAAAGATTTATAAATGTTTGGAAATGCTAGATCATATGCATTGAAAAGGTCATTTTGTGAGGACAGAAAAACCTGCTCAAGCTTTCCATCCCAAAAGGAAGGGAAAATGTTCTTTACCAACTCATTGAGTGGTGTAACATGTAATTGATTAAGATAAAGAGTTCTCTTGATTTGACCTTTTACTATAAAATGGATTTCTTTCTTGCCAATCACTTGAGAAGAAATATTTTCCTCTTTTTTACTCCTTTCACTGTTTAGGACTGTTTTTTCTTTCTCTTTCACTTTTCTTATTTTCTTTATCCCTCAAAAACTTCATTTTAATTTCATTCTCTTCTATTTAGTTAGATGTTAGGGAATGTAATACAAACTTCTTATCTTTGTGAGTGAGGGTTATTTCATTAGTAAGGCCATTATGTATGGATTTTCTATCAAAGTGTCATGACCTTCCTAACAAAATATGGAAAACTTCCATGCAAACTACATCACATAAAAATTTATCCTTATAGTTCTTAATAGAAAACTTGACCTTCACTTGTTGATTTACTACCATATCCTCCTTTTCATTGAGCCATTCAAGCTTGTAAGGTTTTGGATGAGGAATGGTAATGAGGGCTAATTTAGAAACCAACTTTTTGATATAACAATTAGAGCTTGAACCATTATCAACAATGAGAGAACAAGTTTATTCAAAAATTTTACATGTATGAATCTCTTTTTGTGAAGTGCTAATTTCGCAAGGTTGGCTTCCAAAAGGTCTTCTAATCAATAAGAGTTCACTACACTACAAAAAAAAGTCAATTTAGCCACCGAATTTAGCGACCGATTTTTTTCCATCGCTAATAGCGACATAATTAGCGACCAAATCTGATTTGGTTGCAAATTTTATTTAGCGACCAATTTAGCGACCGAATTTTTTAGTAACAAATAATCGGTTGCTAAATCGGTCGCTAAAATAATAATTGTTGATTAAAATAGTAACAGAACGGTTTCGGTCGCTAAAAAAATAAAATATTATTATTTATAATAATTTTAGCAACCAAATTAAAATCGGTCGCTAAAAAAGTAAAAAAAAAATTATTATTTATAATAATTTTAGCGACCAAATTACAATCGGTCGCTAAAAAATTAAAATATTATTATTTATAATAATTTTAGCGACCAAATTAAAATCGGTCGCTAAAAAAATAAAATAATATTATTTATAATAATTTTAGCGACCAAATTAAAATCGGTCGCTAAATGTAAATTTTTTAAAAAATTTAGAAATATATTTCTTTTAAATGAAAGCAAATATAAAAATATATAATATTATTTTTATAATGATAAAAATATTAATGATAAGAAATAAAAATCAATACCCTCCCAATAAAATTAATTTGTTTTTTAAAATAATACAAATTATATAATTTAAAATAGATAATTAATATATCATGATGTATTAAAAAATGAGAAACATAATGCTATAAATGAAAATTAAATAATAATCTTTTTAATTGAATCTTTTTTAAAAAAAATAGACTAATTTAAATAATAATTTATCTAGAAAATTTATTTATTTTTCTCTTGAGAAATTTATTTCTCTTTTACCATGCTTAATATTTTATTACATTATTAGATAATATGAAAATACATAATTTATTGTGCTTTCCAATTTTGTTAAGATAAATAAACTTATTTTCATAAATTTTATTTTATTTTCATTATTATTTTCAAAATTGACTTAAACATCTAGTTCAATTGATATAAACACATTAATTCCATTAAATTAAAAATAATTGGCTTATATAAGGATTAATAAAAAATTTATGAAACAAATCTAAAATTGATAAAATATAATTAATGTTCCATTAGTTTAATAAATAAAAATTATAAAATAAATTATATATATAAATATATACACCAATAACACATAAGATCAATTACTTAAAATATGTTATACCA